CTGTGCCCTTCCATTTTAGAGAAAATTCAAAGCGATTTCTCACATGCCCTAAAAAAATTGCATTGCCGTTCTCGGCGCTTAATTCGAGCCCTGGTTGTACCAGATCCTAATTTTAATGTTCCAGTCGAAACCTGCACCAGCTGGTACTTGAAAATTATCCAGCTGGAACCCTAACTTTATCTTAAAACAAACGTCATAGCTTTGGTCCCGTATCGTGCAAAATTAATTGACTCCAATGAAATAGAATTAGCAGGCACATCACTGAGGCGAACATGAGACATGCATTGCTCACTCAAGTTCTAGTTCTGGTTATTGGTGTAGGAGTCAGTTGTTTTCAGAAAGATTAGTTTTAGGATTTGTTGAAATAGAAATTGTAGATTAATGGTATGATTATATATTTATATATTCAATCAGTAAGCAGGGTGCGAAATTAACGGGAGTCCGGAGTCAAATACTCCCTGATTTACTGTAGGACTCCCTGATTTGACATATGCAGGAGTCCGTGTGACTCCCTGAAAATTCTGCCATACTAACTATAGTTTGTTCCGAAGCACGTCCTAACGGAATTACTGTATTTTTTCAGCTAATGTCCAAAGAAAATTTGGCAGACGTGCAACTGCATGAATCTTAAAAATAAGCACATGCGTTATTGTTAATATCTTTAATTTTGAACCTCAGACTGCAGACTCCCTAATTTTGCGCCTCCCTCTTTTTGAGGGTAGGAAGTCTGTTGGACTCCCTTGTTCAAAAGTTAATTTCTACCCCTGAGTAAGGAAGTACATTACTAAAATAATAACTAACTGCTGGTAAGATGTTTCTTGTAACAGAAATAAAATTAGGAAAATGTCAAAATATAACTCTGAAAAATTGAGGTTGTGGTCAAATCCGAGATGTGGTGCACCCCTAGTTATGACTCAGATTGTGATTACTTTTGTAATTTTTCCCTATTTTAGTTTTTGTCTGTGAAGAAACCTGCATTAAAATTAAATCATAAAACTCATAGCTTTCTACTACATCTTAAATGGAATAGTTATGTTGTTTTTGTAAACTAAAAGCATAGTTTACTGGGAGGATGTGTATAATTTTATCAAACTATCTATCATACAAGTTACCACTACTTAATTAGGTAACAAATTACTATTTATCTTGAATATTTGAAGATAGCTTGAGGGAGGAAATGATAATGTAAGGATTGCCTCAATAAAAATTTATTGCCAGTGATTAACTAACCCATTGTTAATTTTGTG